AATTTTTATATTTTTATAAATTTGATGTTCCATAAATTTTAATGTCAAAATATAAAAGAAAATAATGAAAAATAATTTTAAATATTTTAAAAATAAAATGAACATACATATGCTATATTCCAAAAAAATATAAATAAAAAATGAAACGAAAAGAATATATTAGTTCACAAGATTCAATCTATTAATTACTGCAGATGCTTTCTTTTCTTATTACTAATTGCACTATAGCACTTAATTTATATTATAATTTTGTTAATTGCAATTATATGTATTAGTTAAGTAATTTAATAATTAATGTATATACTTGACACTTGGCAATGATATTGCTTGAAGGAGAAATCAACTATAAAGACCAAATCCTATAGCCAATTACTTTGTGAGAGATTGACTTCTAAGTGAAATAATATTTATACTGGTTAACTATTTGACAAGGCTAATTGCTCTGTTAATCTCATTTCATAAATTTATTAATAATATAAGAAGAAAATTATTGACAACCAAATAAAAGAAAATAAACAAAATCCAAAATATGAGGTTACTTACTTAAATGTTTGTATTTTTTTATGATAGCTATTAAAGGTACACGAATCTCATAAAATTTCCAAAATGAGTGTTTGCAAAGTTTTTTACTTCATTTAACAGTTAAAAAATATGTTTCCTTTTAAACACATACAAAATTTGATATTATTGAAATACCTCATTTCAAGTCTATTTAATTTTATGATGATGTGGGATTTGAAGGGAAACTAATTTATTTATCTAATATTATGATTGAAGCTAATATATAGTCTAATTTATGTATCTCTCTTTTACCTATATTTGATGGTTTAAATTGTTTATTTTATTTTGTTCTTAATGCTTCTGATTGATTGGCCACCAATTAGATTAAATTGAAAACTTAAATTAAACTTTGAAGAAAGAGATTTAGGTAAATCTTACATAGAATAGTGTTATGATCAAATGCACTTAGTTGATTAGGTGGTTTGATCTGCACTTAGGGTAGACATACACCTATAAGCCATACGTAACAAGGATAAGAGTACAAACTTAATAAATCTTTCTTCAACATGATTTGCATAGACATATAGTAAGTTAATTAGGAGAGATATTTTTATAAAAAACTTGACAAAGACTTATAAATAAATTAAGATTCCAGGTTAACAACTTAATCCATTAAACTAAGTTAAGAGAGTGAGATATTACTTAAATGAAGTATTGAGAGACATCATAATCTTAGGTCAAAAAGTCAATCAAATTTACTAAAATAATTTTGTTAGTTAATTTAGATTAGTTTTAGTCTTTAGTTTATTAAAATTACTTTTTCTTTTAATTTAATTTTTATTTGTTTGGATAAGATTAGGGTGTTATAATTTTAGTAATTAGTAAGTAGGGATTAGTTCAATTCTTCGTGAAATGAATTCTACTTTTTGCTATATTACTTGTTAACAATATGTTCACTTACATTAGAAATCAACAACAACAACAAGTGGTGGTCTTACGTGGTATTTTTAAGGAGTTTCATCTCTTGGATTTGGTTGGGTTTTGGCTTAAGCTCATATAAGATTTTTTACTTTACAGTATGACATCTGGTGTTTTGAGGGATTTCTTCCTTTGGGTTTGGTTGGGTTTTGGTTTAGGGTCCATATAAGGTTTTTCCCTTCCCACATCATTTTTTCTTTCTATCAATGTTTTTTTTTTGTCTTTCCATAATGATGTGAGAGTTTTTGGTTTATGGGGATTTAGACCCAATGGCTTCGGTTTGTAAGGTCAATAGGCATGGCTTGCTTGGATTTAGTGTCGTATTCTAATCCTTTCGGTCCTATCTTCTTGATGTCAATCATGGGTCTTCAATTATCCTTGCTGAGGGTGTTTTGGGTTCCAGAAGTTTATTTGTTGCATTCTTTTCCCTTTATATCTATGCTTTTATGTGTTCCTATGTTTACCTCTTCAATTTCGCCTTTTAGGTTTGACATCACTTGTCTCTTTTGGGTTGTTTCAAATTTTTTGCATTTTCTTTGTTTCTGATCTTGCTTTGTTATTAGTTATAGGCTTTATTTCTTTTTTCGTTTCTTTATTTGTGCTTTCGAAAATTTACCATTTTTATTCTTTATTGTGTACCTATTTTTTTCTCATGTTCTTGAGGTTGTTATTTTTATTAATTTTTTTGTTATTGTTTATGGTTTTAATTTTTAATTTGGCTTTTCCTATTCCTCTATGGGGAAATTGAATTCAAAGAATTTACATAAACATGTTTTAAGTTAGGTTTGTGGTACTTGTCATTTTTATGCTTTTTGTGTACAAATTTTGGATTTGACTTTACTGCTTGATTGTGTACAAGAAATGTCAATTTTTTTATATACTTAAAACTGCTCTGTCTGTTTTCTAATATAGAAATATTATCCTCCAATGAAAACTAAATATATGATTGTTCATAAAGGTTGCTTATATATGTATTGACTGTCTTATGCCTGTTTCTTTTTTTTACTACTTATCGTAAATGATTTATTTGTTTTTATGATTTATGGGTTTCTATGTTCATTTGTTTGTCATTTTTTGTTTTGCAGGGGACTTTGTTTCAGATTGTGTGTCAATGCTTATAACAATCAT